GATACACCTATTAAAATACCCCAGTTGGAGCTGGCACACACAGTGCTGATAACCCCAGCAGGCAACGACCTTGGCACCATTACAAGGACAATATTTTCAAATGGATGAACTATTCCTGAACAAAGTGTCCAGTGTACTAGGAATAAACAGGCTTTTCATCAACCAAGCCTGTGTGCTTTCTGGTTCCAGCAACCTTTCCCAGGGATGGTGTGAGAGCGTGGGGGTGCCAAGAAGCAGCACCTCCTCAGCCACCTGCTCAGTTTTGCTCATCCTTCCTTAAGAATTCTGTGACTGAAGCTGGGCACTGTGGCACATGCCTGTAGTCCCCACTACTTGGGAGGCCCAGGTGGGAGGATCAGTTGAGCCCAGGAGTTTGAGACCAGGCTGGACAACATAGCAAGACCCCATCTAAAAAAAAATCCTGCTGTGACTGACCAGACATCCAAACCATCCTATTTTCTGATGCTTGCAAGATTTCTTTTCTGCACTTTTGTAAAAGTAGAACCTGACGCTGTCCTTTGTGCCCCCTTTCAGACCTCAGCAGGTAGGTCAGCCCTTCCCATGGTATAAAACAGGATCCAGGAGCCTCACGAGCAGGAGTCTGTGGTGGAGACTCATATATGAACTCACCAAGCATCTGCAAGGCCAACTCTTTGAGAAGGTCAACAAGACACCCAGGGCAGTCCAAAATAGGATACACATAAGGCTTTGGAGACAAGATCCTTGAGACGAAATTCACTGGGAGAGCAAGACAGGACTCTGGATTCACTGGAAATGAAGCACACATGCAAACTCAACTGGCAAAACCTGCTTCCTCACCTAAGCCAAGGAGGCTGCAGCCGGCCCATTTAGCTGTTCATTCTTTCATTCATCCTATAAATGTTTGTTGAGTGCCTACTGTGTGCTTGACACCATTCTATGTTCTAGGGACACAGAATAAACATGACAAAGTCCCTGCCCTTCTTGCATTCTGATGGGAGGAGACAAACAATAAACAACTAAGCAGCGATAGATGCCAACAGGCACAGGGAGCGTAGGTGTGGGTGGGCATGAGTTATATCATAGAAGGCCACACTGCCAAGGGAAATTTGACCAGAGATGCGAAGGAAGTAAGGGAGCGAGCTGTCATTACCTGGGTGAGTATATACCAGGAAAGGGCATGCTGCAAACATGAAGGAAGAGAGTCTTACACGAATGGATTGAGTCAAGGAGAGGGTCAAAAGAGCTGAACCCAAGAGGTAACAGAGAGCCTGAGTGTGTCAGGTCTGGGAACCATCTTAAAGACTGCAGTTTTAATTCTAAATGAGCTGGGAAAATATTGGGAGGGGGTTGGTAGAGAAAAGTGAGCTAATCTGATTTATGTGTATGAAGGGCATCCTGGCTGTTCAATGGAGAACAGAAAGCAGGCAGGACAATGTGAACAGGGGACAGGAGGGTGCAATGGCCCCAGCAGGAGATGGTGGTGGTGGAGCACAGGGAGGAGATGAGGGTGTGGATATTGGTAGGGTAAGACCTATAGAATTTGATAATAATAGGCTATGGGAAATGGGCAAAGGAGGCAAGGATTGGGTCACAGTTTGTGGCCTAAGCATCTGAAAGGGCAGAGTTAACACTTACTGGGACAAGGAAGGGTGTGGCGGATACGCTGAATGGCATCAGGAATATGGTTTTGGCATCCCACATTATGGTATAGTGTGAGGGTCTATTAGACATCACATAGAGATGTCTAGTAGGGTCCAGACTAGAGATCTAAACTTGGGAATCAGCCTTGTAGAGGAGGTATTTGAAGCCAAGAACGAGGTTGCTAGTAACAGAGAAGTGAGTACTAAGGACTGAGCCCTCAGGCAATTTTAGACAAAGACGACTGAGCAAAGAATGCTAAGGTGAGTTAAAGAAGTAGAGTTTCACTAGCAAATTGGTATTAATTGGTATTAACTGATCAACACCTGAGTGGACATATAGGAATAACATTTATCGGGTGTGGGGGGGAGAGGGTGGATATATACATACATAATGGATCAACTGGGGGATGTACATGCTTGAAGCTCTCTGACTCAAGGTGGAGGAGGGCATGGGCAATATACGTAACCTTAACATTTGTACCCCCACAATATGCTGGAAAAAGAAAACAGTGCCAGTAAAAAAAAAAAAAAGCGTAGAGTTAAAAAAAGTTAAAAAAAAAAAAAAAGGCCTAGAGAATATGTGAAGAAAATATCTCAAGAAGGAACCATTGATCAACTTTGCTAAATGTTGCTGTTTGGTCACGTAATAATAACTGAGCACTGACTATTGGATTTAGAAACAGGTAATTTTACCACGGCAGGCTTACTTCTCTAACAAACAACCCCAAAATCAGTAATGTAACCAAATATATAGCTTATTTCTCACTCACGTCCCAGTTCAGTCAAGTATTTGGCAGACAGCTTCCACGCGGCGATTTGGGGCCCAGACCGTGTGGAAGCATACCCACGTTCAGACGCTTCAGCCTGAAGGTGGCACCTTGCCCTCCACAGCCCTCCCGCTCTTACGGCAGGGACTAGTCACACAGCTTCATTTAGATGAAAAGTGACTGGGAAAGGTCATTTAGCTGTGTGCCCTGGAAGAGAAATCTGCCTGGTGACCACCTGGCCAGTTTCTGCTACAGTAACCTTGGCAAGAGCAGTTTTGGGGGATGATAGAAACCAAAGACTGATTGAAGGGGGTTCAAGAGAAAAAAGGGAAGAAGAAGCATGGGGCAGTAGCTAAAGTGGGATTTGGGATCTAGAGAGATTGCTTTGTTTCCAGCTTGTGTGTCTGATAAGGAAAGGATCTGGCAGAGACAGGAGGGTGTGATGATGCAGGAGAGAGGGGACAACTATTGAGGGCTGTCCCTGAGCAGGTGACAGAAAAGGGGACCTATCTTGGTGCTTCTCAATCTCTGTGGTGGGTAAGAATTCCCCGGAGAGCCCTGCCCGAGAGAGTCTGATCCAGCAGGCCTGCAGCGGGGCTGGAGACGCTGCAAATCCAAGCTCTCCAGGAGATGCTGGTGGCCGGTCGGGATTCAGGCCCACACTTCGAGTAGCGCTGGCGGGGCTGGGGAAGGCCACCCTGGCACTGGCAGGGCAGGCAGAGTGGGTAGGCGCAGATGGAGGCGGGGCGGGTGCTGTCGTGGTGGTAAGACAGGGAACTTGTCATACTAGTGAATTAGGAAGCCAGGATATCAGTTCAGAGTGAGGACCGGGAGGAAGTGTGGAGGGTTTGAGGGGGAAGAAGAAAATGTGATGTCACTGTTCTGAGAATGGAAGAATAAGTGGCGTGGGGAGACAAAATGGGAGTGCCAGGCAGGAGCAGGGAGCCAGCTGCAGGCTGGACTTAGAGTGAGAAAGAGCAGCGGCACCCAGCAGGGCTGGTGCAGACAGGGTGAGTGGTGGGGAGGATCAGCCGGGATTTGGTTCTGCCAGGAAGGGACAACAAGGAGAGAGGGGCCGAGGGAGTTGCTTGTGTACTGACCAGAGGGATGAGGGCCAGACCACCACGTCTAAGTGGGTATGGAGGGCAGGGGGACTTGCAGGTGGCAGTGAGGGGCAGAGGAAAGGTGGGGACCAATCAACTGTGGGCCCCTCCAGAAGCCGAAGAGTCCCTGGAGACAGAAGACCCGGCCGGAAGGGGACCTGTGATCGGGCAGCGGGACTTTGGAACTGAGGCTGTGGCCAGAGCACAGCTGTTGGTCCTGACAAAGTCCAGGGGCTGGCCACGGAGGGCGGACATGCCGCGACGGACCAGATCACTGGAGAAGAGCACGCAGAGGGCCTGGGGGGCTGAGGATTGGAAGGATCACGTCTGTGGATGATGAAATTACGGAGGATCATCAGCAGGAGTGTTGTCAGAGAGAGCGCCGAGAGCTGTTGTTTGCAAACCCTCCTTACCGAACCCGGTGCTCTAAGGAGAGGAGGAAGTTCTGAAATATAAATTCTTAGCCTCAAAGCAAAAATATCCCCACGAGTCTGCTTCTAGTGGTAATTGCAAAATAAACAGAACCCCAGCAGGGGCTGCCTGGGGAGAGGCTGAGCCAGCAGAGGAGCGCCCCGCGCTTGGCGCCCGCTGCTCCTGGCCGGCGCGATCTGGGGAATGAAGAGAGACGGCGACGCCGCCACACCTGGGGGATTCGTCGCCGCAGCGAGCGCTCCTTACTCCTTGGGCTTCTGCGCACATTTTAAGCGGAACAGGAGGTTGCTGGTTTATGACATCTTAGATTTCATATTGAACTGCCGCGTGTGTTCTAGTGCAGAAAAGACTAAATATAGACTTCGAATTAGGAAATCTAAAAGGGAACGCGAAGGCAGCGGGCCGTGGTGGGGGCGCTGGGACAAGAGGGTGGCGCCTCCTGTCACCTCCCGCCCAGGACCCCGCTCCGCGACAGGGGTGCCCTTCCTGTCACCTCCCGCCCAGGACCCCGCTCCGCGACAGGGGTGCCGAGAGAAAACAGCAGCTTCCACGCGCTGTTGACAATGAGCATCTTCCCTCCCTTCGCTCCCTGAGGGAGCTGCAGCTCCGAAGGCCTCACTGTGGGGGGCGGGTCCCTCTCTCGGCCAAGCCAGCCCGACAGCCTCTCACTGGCCCCCAGCCCCAGAATCCAAACGGAAAGCTGGCGCCCCCTCCCCTGCCCCTAAGTAAATCATTGCTGCCAGTCATGCCTGGGGCGTCTGGGGATGGGGACGTCTGGGCCTCCCAGCATCCCATCTAGCTGCATACGCAGTGAGCGCTGAGGCAGAAAGGAAGGCGGGAGGGTTTACCTCCAAAGGCCACTGTGCTTATCCCTGGGTAATAGGTTATGGATGACTTTTCCATTTTCTTCTCTGTATTTTCTAAATTTTCTAAAAGTAGTATGTATTACTAATGCATGTGAAAACTCCTAATACACTTGCTTTGTTGTTTATAAAACACTTAGTTGGATGGGTTAGCCTGGACAAGGAACACACCAACCCTGCAAGACCATTCCAGGCAAACAACGAAAGGCTCACCTGGCATACAATGGGAGCTGAAATCCAGCACGTGGTGCTCAGCAAAGGCACATAGAAGAGGGTTGGGTGAGTCAGGGTTCACATCAGCTGATGATCACATCCTCTCAGCTGCCCAATTACAGGTAGCCAGAGCCCCAAAGCCTGTGAGGATGGAGAAGACACAGAAGCATGGAGGCAGTGATGAAGACCCTTAATGTCTCTGCCAGTCTGTGATTCTATGCCGTCTAACCTCAACTGTGTTGACTGCAGCAGCCTTGTGCACCTTACCTGCCACCTGAGCAAAGAGCAATGTCACATTGCCACAGGCCAGTGTAACCCTGGACCACCTAGCCCGAAGTGGATTTCCTTTTTCCTACCTGGTCTGGGTTATTAAATTCAAGTGCAATACCACAAATGCTGTGTTAGTCTTGACCTGAGGTTCAAAGACATGCGATCTAATATAAATACATGATGACCTTAGATTAAGGGCCGGCCCTAGGTAAAACAGTTAAATAAATAAAACATATCTTTGGACATCTCCCTGGAAAGAGTGGCTACTTCATACCAGGGTGCTTCACTTTCTAGGGTCCCCTGCAGGTTCCCGCTGCAGTACTTTCAAACCCTGAGTCCCTGTCCCTCAAGGTTTCCTGCCTGGATGGGCACGCTAATCTGAGAGACCCACTCACTTGTTGAGGTGGTAGCAGCCCAATGTGTTCACACCTCTCCCCATATTGAATTTGTATCTTAACTCAGGCCACTTTCTAGAAAGACCCGACATGACTCAAATAAATAAAACACCAATGATAGAAATTTTAGGTTGACCTATAGGATGCTAGTAGGGAAGACTCTTAAGGATAAGAGTGAGGGTCAGGACTACCCCTAAAATAATAACACCTGGGCCAGGCATGGGGGCTTACACCTATAATCCTAGCACTTTGAAAGCCAAGGCAGGAGGATCATTTGAGGCTGGGCATGGTGGTGTGCACCTGTAACCCCAGCTGCTTGGGAGGCTGAGGCAGGAGGACCACTTGAGCCCAGAAATTGGAGGTTGCAGCAAGCTATGATGATGGCACTGCACTCCAGTCTGGGTGACAAAGTGAGACTCTGTTTCTAAAAATAATGATAATAACAACATTTTACTTATACTTAAATATGTCTCTGTCAACAACAATGTTTTCCTCCTGGAAGGTTAAGCTTCCGTAAATCCTCTGTGGAACAAAAAGGGATTTTTAAATGAAAAGAAAAAAAAAAAAAAAAAACCAAAAGGAGGGAAGAGAAGATAAGAACAGAAAAAAGAAAATAAGGAAGTAGTGGCATAGGGGACAGATTTTTAACACACATATTCCTATTCTTTCATTTGCTTCTCTCCTTTGTCCTGTGCAAGGGGTAAGATGATGCAGTATTTAGCCCTCGTTGAAGACGTGTTTCAAGTTTTATCTTTAAAATATTATTTTCTAGAACAGTTGTTCTCAAAGTGTGAACCAGTGAACCCTGGGGTGTCCTAAATCACATTTTAGGGGCTCCTTGGCATCAAAATTCTTTCCATAACAATAAGATGCAATTTTCCCTTTTCACTCAATTGAGTTTTCACAGGCTACATGTGTAATGGCATCATTACATGGGTCCTATGGTCCAAACAGTTTGAGAAATGCTATAGACTCTCTTAGAATTGACAATGTCTATTAGCCTATTAAAGTCTATGAGAAGTTCTGCAGTAAAAAAAACAAAACAAAACAAAACCTATTTAATTTAGTTTAATACAACGTTGCAAATTTATTTGACCATAGAATTTATTTTTGTTTTGTTATGGTTAGTTTAACACCTGTTGCCATTATATTTTGAGAAATGTTCCTCCTCCCAGAGTAAGATATTAAGCTATTATTCCCCTGACCAAGGTGTTTATTACAGATTTCTCATCTGTACCTGAAGTGAGTAGTCAATGAGCAGTCATTAGTATATCAGTATAGCGTAATGTCAAGAACGGGGCCAGACTGCCTGTTCAAATCCCAGCTCTGCCACTTACTACCTGTGACCTTGGGCAAATTACTTAACCTTTCTGTGCCTTACATTCTTTATGCATCAAACGGGAAAGATTTTATATATACATAAATATATATGCTAGAATGGTGCCTTGCACATAGTAAATGCTACTTAACTAAGCTTTAAGAATTAGCTTTAATCTATTACTGTGCCAAACATGCTAGTCTAGGATCAGGACTCAAGGCTAGGCCACTACCTAGTGACATGACCTGAGCCAGGTCTCCAGTCTGCCACGGCCTTCAGTATACCCACACGGCAAACTAGAAAGTGAGGCCCTTCGAGCACGGATGCTCTCTGACTGACACTTTCCTTGCAGAAGGCAGCGCTAACCTGGGCCACGGCGGGAGAGAGGACAGAGGGGGCCATCGGGTGGCCCAAGATCCCTATGCAGCTTCCACAGAAGATGAAGGGCTCACAAAATGGCCTTTGAGAAGGGAATCCATCTGCTCAGAGTCCCGCCTGCCACTGGCCAGCTTCTTGCCCATGCAGGTGTGAGGGAGAAAGGGCGCGGGTTTGCAATCCTGCAGCACCAGCCCACCGCCTCCTCACGCCACCACTAGTTGAACCAGGTGTTTCGAATGAGGGCCTGGCTGCAGACAGGAAAAGGCGCTTCGAAAGGGCCCTCTTTGGAGGACCCTCCCACCTCCACCCCAGCCCCAGAGAAACCTTTTGGACAGACACCTAGCCTTGGTAAGACACCACAGTGGCTGCCTCTAGAAAAATTCCTCCAACGTGACTTCCCCGCAGTTGGGGATGAAGAGAATGCACAGGCTGAAGAAACTGGAAATCGCTGTATGAGACAGAGCTTTGAATTGCTGGCAGCTGTGGGCCAAGGTAGAGGAGCCCAGCATAATGCTTAGGAGACTAAATTGGGAACATTTGAATGCTCAGTTTTACTTGTGCTTAAAAAAGCAAGTAGCGGCTCAGCGGCCAGATGTTGGAGAACTGCGACACGTAGCTCTCGGGCCTGGCATCAGCAACACTTTCGCAGGTGACCACACGTCAAAGGGAGATGATGACTTGCTTTCCTAAAACTGCTTCTGTGGTGGCTTTCGTGTTTCACTTTCACTGAAGCAGTTTAATTTGGGAACACCAAAAAGAATGTTACTTAACTCAGAGAAGATTGGCTCTAGGGCTTGTCAGCAAGGGAGGAATTTCTGAGAACTGTGGCTTCAAGAGAGCTCAGTTCCCTGTAACCAAAGCCTTTGAGCAGCGGCAGGGTGCGGTGGCTCAGGCCTTTAATCCCAGCACTCTGGGAGGCTGAGGCAGGAGGATCGCTTGAGCCCAGGAGTCTAAGGTTGCAGTGAGCTATGATGCCCCCACTGCACTCCAGCCAGGGTGACAGAGTGAGACTCTGTCTCAAAAAAAACAAAAAGAGAAGATCCTTTGAGCAAATTACTGAAGTGCCCTCTCTCTAATGCGGTGTATCAGTTAGGAATTGCTTTCTGCTGCTAGTAACAACTGACTTAAACACATGAAGATGTTTATTTTTGTCATGTCATAAGAAATGCAAACATGGGTAATTATTGGCATTGGTTTAGTGGCTCAAGAAAATCAGGGCTGAGTCTTGTGATTCTTTTAGTCTTTTCTTCATAGCTTCAATATGCCTGTTGTAATTCCAGCCATCACATCTATATCCCAAACAACAGGAGGCAGGAGGAATGGAATGGCAAACAAGGCTTTCCTGGAAGTCCCACCCAACGACTTCTGCCTTCATCTCCTGCAAGAGAAGCACGGCAGCGGTCTTTTCACTGTGCACATGCTAACTAGAATAACATTGGGGCTCTGTTACTAAGAAAGAAGGCGAGGGTGGATCTTGGATAGGAAACCAGCGCTCTCTGCATGGGGCTTTCTGGAGAGATGTGTTCAGACAGGAAGGTGCTGCCTGGACTGGTCCTTCTGGGCGAGCTCGTTATGTGAAGGAGCAGGCACCCGGGGAGCCTCAGTGTAGCCATGAAACTGACCTCCAGGCCTCCGCCTCCAAGGGGTGAGGCTGCTTCCATTCTAGGAGTGCCCCTATTTCCCAAGTCAGCTTGACTGGGGAAGGAGAGGGTGCAGGGACATCTCTGAAAAGCGGCGGCTTCCTCTGTGATCCAAGGCGTTGTGTGCAAGGCAGTGAGCAGACAGAGATGACCCTGTACGTCGACAGAGGAGGTGCTCAACCGCTACTGTTGGTGGAGTGAGGAAGAGGATGAACAAAGAAAACATGCTTCTGCAGCTTCCGAGTCTTGCGGATTAGAAGACACAAAGCACGTGACTGGAAAGCTGGAGAGGCTGAGCACCCATCAGCTCCCGGCACTGGGAAGGGCGTGGCCATTGCCGCCAGGGTGCTCCCAAGGTTTCAGAGAGGAGGGGGAAGATGTGGAGTTTGCTGGACGACAGGGCTGAGGGGTGTCACCTAGCACACAGTAGGGCCTCTAACTGGCAAGAGAAGCAGCCCTTGGCCTGAATTCCCAAAGACATCATGGATCCCAAACAAAATATGTCACCCCAACATTTCCAAGCATGTAAAACAATGAAATGCAATTTTAAAAGATCCGACAAAAAACGTGGAAGGGCACAGCACATAAAAATACCACAGTCAAGAACCAAAATACTAACTTCTGTTACAGGAGGGAAAAAACCTGTCACACCCATGTATGGAGGGGGATGAGTTGAAGAAAAGGGGACATTTAGTCCTGGGCTTGCTTCCTGGGCTTGCTTCAGATCTGGGAGTGCGAAAAGCTCGCGGGACAGCAGCATTCTGCGGGAAGCGGCGTGGGGAGATACGGGAGTGGCTGGTTTTTTCCTTAAGTCTACATGTTTCCAACTGTTATTTTATGCTTCCAGCTATTACCATATGTTCACAGATTTTAAAGTCACAATAAACGTCAGGGTGAGCAGCTGTGGAATAATTCACACCTTTGTTCATTTTCCAGCACCCCCCATCAGACCGCCTGGCTTAAATAATGACCCGCCCTCTCGCCACCTGCGCATCAAGGTCACAGCCCCTCTGCATTAACAGCCATGAGAACAGCCAGGTTAACTCTCGCGGGCAGTTAGCTGAATTGCAAACCTACCGCCGAGCTTCAGATAGGTCATGACATTTTTAGTCTCTAAAGCTTGCTTTTCCGATGGTTAGA